AATGCCCATGAAGGAAATGATCGGTGAGCAAAAATAGTTCACGTCGTCCCCGGAGTCAATTTTTTTAAATTCCAATTTCATTTTTTTTCAATTAAAAAAATTTTAATTCTATAATGTGTTGAGTATTCTCAGTAATTAAAGTGAATTAATTACATGAATTAATTGAATCATTCAGTTGAGGAGGCCATTGGATTAATTGAATTAATTAAAATGAATTGAATTGCATTTTTTTCTGCAGCACTTTGGAGGAAAGAATTGCTCGAGCTTACACCACGCCTCCTCTCTCATGACAAAATGAGCGTTCGTCTTCATTTGTATTCGGAAAAAGCTCGAGAAGGTGCAGTTTCAGCTTTAAAACAAGGATTTGGATGTGCAAGCGTTGGAAGTAGCGATGGAACCCTCCACGGTATTACCGGTTCCTTCAGGAAATTGGAAGTCGATTGATCCCACAACCATGCGATTTTTTGTCCTAGGCCAAATTTTTTATCGTGATGAGGAAGATTAGGTTGTGCTTGTTATATTTTTGATACATACCGTGTGATATTCGGGAAATTGTATATCCATGGAGTACGTAAACCAATTAAAAATGGACGAAATTTTCCACTCGCCGAAATGAAAAATTAATCGACGAATTTTCATCGTGTGTTCTCATGAATTTTTTACGTGGATTTTTTTTTTAACTTATAGCGAATATTTTTGATACTCAACAGTAAAATAAGTTTTTATGAATAATCCTTGCTATTATTATTAGGTCGACAAAAAATATTTTATTTCTTCATTTTTTTCACAGATATGGATTTTCATTCAATATTCAATATGCTTATATAATAATTATTAAATTTAATTAACTCAGTTCTAATTCTCCTTGGAATGTAGAAGAATTTTTTTTATCAATTCCATGATTAAGAAATGATAAAGTAAAAAAGAAAATAGTAATTTCCATAGGAATATTTATCGGAAAATTTTCAACAAAAATATCATAATCAGAAATTTTCCCTCAAATCCAAATTTTACAGAGTAATAATAACGAATAAATCTGTCGCCTGGACGGAAAAAAAAATGATAAATAAATAGAAAAATACTGCTGATAAATAAATAGCGTACGAAATAAACGATTTAATCGGTGTATTCTTCATCAGCATCCTCGCCACCGCCACCAGTAAATTCCTCGTCAATATCAGCCTCTTGATATTGCTGATACTCAGATACAAGATCCGACATGTTTGATTCAGCCTCAGTAAATTCCATTTCATCCATTCCCTCCCCAGTATACCAATGGAGGAAAGCCCTGCGACGAAACATGGCATTGAACTGCTCAGAAATTCTCTTGAAAAGATCCTGAATCGAAGTTGTATTTCCCAAGAATGTACCTGACATCTGCATGCCAGTGGGAGGAATATCACAGACAGCTGTCTTGATATTCTGGGGAATCCACTCCACAAATTTAGCTGAGTTTTTATTCTGGACGTTAAGCATGTGCTCGTCAACTTCCTTCATTGATAATTTTCCCCTAAAAATAGCCGCGACAGTGAGGTACTTGCCGTGATTGGGATTGCAGTCTGTCATCATGTTCTTGGAGTCGAACATCTGCTGCGTAAGTTCACCCACTGAAATTGAACGATAATTCTGGCTGGAGCTGGCTGTCAGAGGCGCAAAACCAGGAACGAAGAAATGAAGACGAGGAAATGGCACCATGTTCACTGACAACTTACGCAGATCTGCATTTAATTGGCCAGGAAATCTTAAACTTGTTGTAACACCTGAAGAGAAGGGATGAAAATTAATAAATAAAAATGTGATGATATAATTTACCCTTGATTGATTATTTTTACACATACCCGACATTGTGAGACACACGAGATGATTTAAATCCTTGTAGGAGGGATTAGGAAGCTTCAGAGTCCTGAAGCAGATGTTGTAAAGAGCCTCGTTATCAATGCAGACTGTGTTATCAGTTAATTCGATCAATTGATGCACTGACAGTGTTGCATTATATGGTTCCACAACTGTATCTGAGACTTTGGGGCTTGGACCAACACTGAAAGACGTCATAATCCTGGAACAAAAGAAATTAATCGATTGAAATAAATCCCAAATATTCTCTCCTTTAAAAAATAGGTTGCAGCAGTATTTTTTATTAATAATTATGTTAAAAAAATGAAAAACTCCAAGACAACAGGTTCTATATCTAATGATAGCAGAAAGGACAGATAAACATCGAAGAGAATGAGTATTTACCTATCGGGAAATTCCTCTTTTATTTTTCCCATCAATAGTGTACCCATCCCCGAGCCAGTACCCCCTCCCAACGAGTGGCACAATTGAAATCCTTGTAAGCAATCGCAGTGCTCCGATTCCTACAGAAAGAAAAATCAAAATAAAGATGAATAGATGAATTATCTCAAAAATTCGCCGAACATTCGAGTCTGCTCATTTTTTCCACTGAAAATAATTCTGCATTTGTTAACGATGACTCGACTATTTCTATTATTTACCTTTCTGATTACATCGAGCACTGAATCAACTAGCTCAGCCCCTTCGGTGTAATGACCTTTGGCCCAATTATTTCCAGCTCCACTTTGTCCGAAAACGTAATTGTCTGGTCTGAAGAGACGACCATAGCCTCCAGATTTGGCAGCGTCCATGGTTCCTGGTTCCAAATCAACAAGAACTGAACGTGGAACATAATGTCCTCTTGCTGCTTGATCATAATAAACTGTAATGCGATCAAGCTGAGTGCCTTTATCAGGCCCCTTGTAACATCCATCAGCGTCGATGCCATGTTCCACGGATATCACTTCCCAAAACTGAAATAAAATTCCAAACCATTACTACTCTCTTTACATCAATCAATTATATACCTTAATTAACGGAATCTATTGGTGAAAATACACATGAATTCCTGACAACAAGCCATCGTCCAGGAGTCCTTGGCTACTATTTTCGTTAAATTCTGATAAATTGAGAAAATATTGAAAATCAGTTGAAGGTCGAAGGTAGGACAAATGGACTTACTTTGCAACCAATTTGATTGCCACACTGGCCAGTCTGTATATGTACAATTTCCCGCATGTTCAATCTATTTTGCTGCTTTTTGGTTTAATAAAAAATTCAAGTGACAGGAATTAAAAATGGTAAAATACAGAAGCACGGGAATCGACTCGGAGAATGGGATTATAAATCCAATGAAATATTAGGAGACGAGAAAGATGTGAAGGTGTAACTTCTGGGGAGAATCACCGACAACTGGCGAATTGTAATCAGTTTATAGATTTGAAATCCACAGAGAAACGTATTTATGAAAAATATTTATGTGACCTTGACGTTTTCCCACTTTGAAGATGAAATGTTGATGAAATGTTCAGCATCGGATATATCATGAACCAGCAGTTGAAAAAATTAAAGGAAAATCATTACAAAAAGGCCTTTCTTCTGGAAAAAGTAATATTATTTTCTCCTTTACTTATCATGGTTCCACTCAAAGATATCCGACGTTAAAAATCCTCTCAATTTTCCGTGCATAAATTACTGCAATACTTATAATTATTTTATTCAACTCATTATATTTTACTCGTCCACATCTAGTCGACCCAACACAATATTTTGGGTCACAACATCAGATCATGGGAAAAACACAGAATTCAATATTTACAAGAGATGAATTCCGAGTCCAATTTATACAGAGAATCAAACAGGTGTTCTCCGCGTTTAATCAATTAAGTATTATTCAAACATCTGTGCAAAAGCAACGGTAATGAATATATCGTGTATTATGATGTATTGTTATTAAATTTGTGAGTGTTTTTTTTAATACCAGTGACACGGTTTCAGATATTTTAAAATGGTTAAGCCCCGGATCGCTCAAGTCCCCCTCTTTTTTTTTTCATACCTGTTCCGGGGATGTCCCGTTAACATCGTACCTTCCAACTCAGTTTAACAGTATGTTGAACCAAAACGTTATCCTACAAAGTGTAACCACGTTACTTGTCTCGTTTTAATGTCTTGTCTTTAAATGCACAATGAGTATGATTACGTGTCACTAGAATCCCCTCGACATGCAATATTTTTACACATTTGACTCACCTTGAGAATCAACTGCTGAACATTAATTTAAATAATTTTGTTATTGCGTCAAAAAAAAATTCCCTCATTTTATTCTGTTGGTAGATTTATTAGCCCTTGTTCGTGCACTGACTAATATGAACTCGAAACGGAAAAATTATTTGACGTCTCAAGGAAATTGAGGGCGTGTGTTGTTTTACATTTGTGCATTGGTGAAGTGAATAGAATACGGACTGATAAGGATTAAGTTATTCAGAGCTGAAATGCCGGGGAAGAATCAAGTGAAGACCAATGGAAATAGTCGTGAAGAGATGGCTGATTATACTTCGACGGGGGGAAAGAAGAAATCAAATTTTGTTGCTTATTTTTTATGGATGTTTGGCGGCTTTTTTGGAGCACATCATCTGTACTTGGAGAGGATTGATCATGCTATTGTTTGGGCGACGACAATGGGTGGGTATTTTGGAATCGGATGTTTTAGGGACATGTGGAGAATACCCACTTACGTCAAAGATGCTAATGAAGACCCGAATTATATCGAAATTTGGAAGATCATTGTTAGGCAAAATAGAAAGGTAATATTTTTCTCAACATCAAACCATTATAATCCAGGAAATATTGTGGGGCTAATGATGAAGGTGATATATTTTATTTCAGCCTCCATTTTCTACAGCTCGATTTATCGGTGCATTAGCAACTGGACACTTGTGGGGCGAATTAGTTCGTTGTGCTATTCCTGAAGACGAAATGTATGGAATTAATTTCAAACCTCTTCTGTACATTGTCCCAGCAGTTATTGCTGTAGGTAATGAATTGTCACGAGATTTATTATTTGAGGAAAGAATTGAGTCTTAAAATGAGAGACTTTGAGGCACAGACAGATTATCATGGATTTTTCATACGTTAATTTATTTGGTGATGGGTTATTTTTTATTTACAAAGGTGTGTGGGTCGTTGGAAATATTGGAAGAGAACAAGGATCGATATGGCTGTCGTTAATGACTGCGTACATGATGTACCCGTTGCTGTACTACATCGGTGATGAGTCCACTTGGGTTAATATTGTGGCTGTTATAACTGCTTTGGCATTTGACACATTCAGCAAAGAGTGGAGACTCAAACCAAAAAAGAGGCATTCAGTCACTCGATCTCTCGCTGTTTATACCATTTCTGTGATAATTTTCTGGAGCCTCTTGACCAGTTACTTTTACTTCAATGCAACACTCACTGATAGTGAGGGTGAGGAAATTAAAGTCACTGAGGCTGTTAAGCATTTCTTTACTTCACCCATATGGCTTGATCTGAAGGTGAGGATTTAGCTTCAAATAAAAATCATGGAGAAATGATTTTTAATGGGTTTAAGAAAAAATTACGGTTATTTTACAGGTAACATTGGGAGCTACTTGGGAGCAAGCGAAAAATCAAGGATTCTGGGCAACTTGGAGACAGCTGGTGGATCTTTCTGATCCTCGAGGGGAGATAAACGCTTACAGGGTAATTGGGATTTTTTATTTTTGAATAATTTGTAATGATTTGAGGCTTCGGGGGGAAAATTCGAAAACGAATGCACAATTTTGATGAAAAATAAATTAATCACATCGATTTTTATTGTTGCACAGGTATTAGATTTATCCACAACCGCTTCCGAAAGTGAAATCACGGCGAAATGGAGGACTCTGTCGAAGGAACATCATCCTGACAAGGTCAAGGGCAATGAGGACGAAAAAAAGGCTGCGCAAGAGAGATTCATGGAGATCCAGCAAGCTTACGAGATATTATCTAAGAAAAAGACTAGAAGACAACGGAAAAATCGAAGAGCTGGATGATGATGTTTAATTTTAAATATTCTATGGCCACCTCATCCTCTAGGATGAATTTCTACTTTCCCAAATAAATTCTAAATTATTACATTAATATTATCCTTTCCCATGGAACGTTCTGGATTTAAGGGAGTGATCCATAATATGTTGTAGGTTACAACGGTTTGATAAAAAATTTATTTCTGGAAAAAATCTCACAACATTTACTCAATTCCTTTGAAGCATTTTCAATCAACGTCCATTTCATTTTCATCATCACTGTCACTTCCATCTCCACTCGAATCTTCCTCTTCAGACTCCGAAGAATCCGAATCCAGCCAGACCTGAGATGACACATCATCTTCAATGATTTTCTGCCACTCGTCCAATTTATGAAGATCTGAAACAATCAATCAATAATCAATTCATAATTAAATTATATTCTATCGGGGAAAAGAACATTTCCTAGGATTAATTAATTAGCCGTTGGAGATATTTTTTCTGTGTGCATTCACCTAAACAGTAGAAATCACTCAATGTGTACTGCTTATTCCCATTCTCAAACATGCCTCCGTATAAATACAGAACATTGTTCTTGACGGTTAGACCCGGATTTATCCTAGGAGAAGGTACAAAGACGTCATTTTTGGGGTCCCCATTAGAACGACTGGAAGTCACTGGTGCTGGACCGACAGTAACTGTGAAGATTCCATCATCAATGGTGGTGACAGCTGGAGTAGGATCAACCACTTCCATCCCCTTGCCTCCTTCCTCATCCTCTTCGTCCTCAGAGCCCTCCTGTTTTCTCCTTCTCCTCTTGTCTTTCGTATCCCTCTTCCCACTCAAATTGACAGACCTCCACTGATGCTTCTCGACGTCGAGTGCTACCAGATCGTTGAAGAACGTTCCCTCAAGCTCTTCATCGTCTTCCTTCTCGTCGTAAACTCCCCCAAACATGTAAGCGAGGGGAGGCTGTGCCAGGATAGCAGATGTGCTGCACCTCGGGGAGATACTGATTCCACTCTGCTTGACCCCAACAGACTTCCACCTGAGTCCAGTCTGGTCGTGTTTATCTGGACCCAAGAGGTACATATCCGTGTGCACCTGCCCCCTGTCAACGTCTTTCTTGATCCGCTCCTTGCTGTATCCCCCATAAACCAAAATTTTATTGTCACTGGTTGGTAGAACGATGCAGCCAGACCTCGCAGGAGGTATCGTACCACTCAACTCGATTTTACTCCACCTGTAGTCCCCCAGATCAAAGATGAACAAGTCGTTGTAGTACCTGAAGTCCCTTAAATTGTCGTGAAAGCCTCCGAAGACGATCAGCTGTTTTTTTCCGTACACCATGCGATGGCCACTCCTCGAGGATGGCCCACCAGGCACCTGCACCTTCTCCCATTTCTTTATCCCAATGTGGTAGACCCAGAGATCTTTGTAATGGTAGAATTGAGACTCCGATGGACTTGAGAATTCTCCACCGAACACCCAGAGCTCTCCTTTTCCGTTCGCAGTTGCCACTGACTGATGCCCACATCGGGGAGGAGGGGCACCAGGTGCTTTCACAACTGTCCACGTTTTTTTATTTATGTTGTAGAAGAACATGTCGCCATAGACGGTTGTTTTCTGGCCGTCGAAGAATTCTCCTCCAAGCATTATTAACTCATCTTTGAAGGGGTGCGCTGTCAGGGTGAAGTTCACACGTCGTGAGGGTTGATCGATCGTTGCTTCCACAACTTTTTGACGTTGGGCTTCTTCTTTCTCGATCTGAGCCACTACCTTCTCGATGTCATCCTGAAAATGCAAGATTAGAGTCGCTAGTATTTTATAAAAATATAAAGTGAACAGTAAATGAAAATAATGTAAACAGGAGTAGATGAAATTTCCGTTCTCAAATGAATTTGTAAATGGTTTATGCGAATGATAATTGATATGCCGATTTCTTCAAGATCGACTAAAATCAACTAAATTGACTAAAATCAATTCAAATACGCGTACCCCACCGCCGTGGACCTTCACATGAGAACGCATCCTTTGACTCACCGCCTACGACTTCAAAGAGGATTCGCGAAAGTAGAAGCTCAGTTCTGGGGGTTTGAGTGGATGATAAACTAACCTCACCGATAGCCGCAAGATCTTTTTTTTGTTTAGCATTCAATTTCTTCTCAGTCTTCAAAGCAGTCTTCTCGCTGCCACTGATTTTCTGCTTGTTCTTTCCCTTCTTCCCCATCTCCCGACAATTCTTCAACAATAATCACAGATCAATGATGCGAGATGATTAATCAGGTTAATCAGACACTCACGTGCACCTGCACTTGACAGAATTAAATCTCATAGGACAATTCCCCCGGAGCGAACGTGAGGTCTCCTATTGTGGGCGCAAATCCCCGGGTGGGGCCTAGTCACTGGTTATTGGACATTTCCCTTGGTGCCAATATTTAAATAACCGTTGAAGGGATCGGCAGGGGCGATGCCGCCCCCTCTTCTTAGACCAATCATCAAACACTCCAACATTCGTGACTGAAAAGGTTCAGGAGCAGGGTGGAGTTCCATCAAGTTCCATTTCTAACGATTATCACTGTAAGTCCAAGATAATTATAAAAAAACTCCCCACGCAGAATTCTACGTGACTAGTGGTTTCTATTAATTAGAATATCATAATCTAAAAAGGTCAGTGGTGGATTTGATGATGGAGATACTTGGTAATATATCATCGGCATTTTGGTCCCCTGACGTTTGGTTACCGCCGAATATAACGTGGGACAACATTGCGCCAAATTCGGATAACAAATATGCAGATTATCGGCATCTCGTATATCCACTGCCTATGGCACTTGGACTTCTAGTCATCAGATACTGCTTCGAGAGGTGAGACTCTTTTTATTTAATTGATGTAATTGGATTAGGGAAATGGGATGCGGGTTTGGGGGTTAGATGGATTACAGTTGGCCGACCTTTTTCGAAAGGACTTTTCAGGTTACACTCGCTGGTCACCGGTTGACGATGAGGAAAAAATTATGGAAAAACTGTGTTAATTTCATTCAGTGATTGTGGAATAAAAATAGGGCTGATGTGGTTGTTCAAGAATTCAGGCGATTTGTGGAGATTTTTTGCATTTTGATGGACTGTTTGGTATGGAATTGAGGGAATTAATTCGTGAATCATCAGACTAATCATTAGTCGGTTGGGCTAGTCGTCGAGCAGGTGGGATGGTACGTTTTGGGGATGTGGGATTTGGTTTGAGGTCAATTCGGTGTATTCCAGATTTTTTTTTTATTAATTAGAAATAAAAAGATGAGAATTGAGAACTAATGGATCTCATCTCCCAGTAATTCTTTCTTTTACTAGTTGTAGTTAAAAAATAATGTTTTTTTTTTAAGTCGTATAAGTCAATTCAGTTTCTGACAAAAATTCCACAGCCTTCCCACATAATCTCGTGATAAGAGAAAGTCAACTGATTTTGAATTTTCTCTATAAATTATCTTGAGATTCGACCACAGATTTTTTACAGGTGGTTTTGATAAGATTCAAGTAACAACTCGAAAAGTCTATGGCCGAGGATTAAAAAAAGCAATTGAAATAGAATCATCAAGAGTACGCATTATTATCATTAAGAATTATTCAGCATGTACAATTGTCTTGGAAATTCTGGAGCCCTCCACACAAACTTTCTACAAAAATCGTTAGTAGAAAGTCAATAAATTCTTTTTTTTTTCAATTGCTCATCGCCGACCGATTGGAACAGTTCCAGAAATCTATGAGCTCGTACCCCTGGAAAAACCTTAATAAAAATAATCAAAACTAAATGGCATTATTATTATCGAAAATGATGAAAAAACATCTTGTAAAATTCAGAAGAAATATGAACGGATGAAATTTTCAACATTAAAATCTTCGATACATGACACGACGTTAACTACAAAATTTCCAATACCGCAATGACTATTCCCCAGGTATTGCTTTGCACCATTCGGTAAGTCACTGGGTATAAAGCCAAAAACGAAGAGAGCACCACCAAATCCAATACTAGAGAAGGCATACACTAAGCGAATAAAGCATAAACAGGTAACGGCACTTGCCAAGCAGCTCGACTGGTCCGAGAGACAGGTAGAGAGATGGCTGAGATTGCGGAGGGCCCAGGGCAAGCCATCGACCCTCACCAAATTCTGTGAGGACAGGTAAAACTAACGAATGACAATGACCCCTTTACATATCATTAGAAAGGCAACATCGAACTCATCCTCTCTGTTGTTCTACAGTTGGAAATGTATGTATTACGCTATTATATTCATCTACGGCCTGATTGCCCTCTGGGACAAGCCATGGCTCTGGGACATCAAGCACTGCTACTACAACTATCCCTATCATGCTGTCAGCGATGATGTCTGGTGGTATTACATGATCTCGATGTCGTTCTACTGGTCCCTCAGTATTTCTCAGTTCTTCGATGTCAAGAGGAAAGACTTTTGGCAGATGTTTATACATCACAAGGCGACTATTCTCCTCATGTGCTTCTCATGGGTCGGCAATTTAACTAGGATTGGATCGCTGGTGCTGGTTATCCACGACTGTGCAGATATACTCCTAGGGGTAAATAAGTCACCGTCTACCTTGAGAAATAAATAATATAAACGATAATGACCTGTTTATCTCTTCACCAATTGATTTAGAGCGAAAACTTTAACATCATTTTTTGTAGGAAATTCAATTTGCGACCGGAAGGGTCTTTTTACAGTTCGTCGTAAAACCATTAGTTCCTGAGTTAAATCGATATTCAATGGAACTGTTAAATTCGTCTTATCTAAATTTACCACTTCGCTAATGGGTTTGTCAATCCTATTTTTCTCCCCTTCGAGATATGAGTCATTCTGTATTCTAAGGTCATAATGCTACGCGAATTATCTGAGAGGTGCTGAGAGCAGGAATTTTTCATAAAAAAATAATAGTTTGTTTTTCACTCTCTCAGGATGCATGCTTTGAGGACTACTGTAATTAATGATGTGCTCTTTGATTTTAGGCTGCCAAGCTGGCTAAGTACGCTAATTACCAAAAACTCTGTGATGTTTTATTCGCTCTCTTCACTATTTTATGGCTCATAACGCGCATGGGTCTCTATCCGTTGTGGATAATCTACAGGTAATCCTCATAAAGATACGTTCGAAGAATTACATTCGTTCGAAGAATTACATTTGCGATAAATTCCAATCTTGCATCACGAAAAAATCATCCTGATGACAATGATTTATTTTCAGCACTTCAATAGCGGCTCCAAAAATCGTGCCAATGTTCCCAGCCTACTATATCTTCAATTCTTTATTAATTCTTCTATTCGTCCTTCACACTATCTGGACACGAATAATCCTCAAGATTGCATTTAACGCACTCTACGCCGGCCAGGTGTGTTATTATCTCCGCAATTGATAGCATCATTACATATGATTTTGAATCATTAGTGACTCATTTTATTTTTAGATGGAAGGTGATCTACGTAGTGACAGCAGTGAGGAGGTATCCGATGATTTGTCAAATGACTTACCCTCAAACAACTCGAATCACGCTAAGAAAATTTCCGATAAACAGGACTAACCGATGTGTTGGTTTCACGATTCCTAGATATTAATTTGTCAATAATGTTTCAAGTCGAGTTCAACGATAAAAAAGAAAGCGATTCTATGGATGCAATATTTTCGATCGAACATTGTGGGAATTTTTTTTTCCCCGTTCGATTAAACCAAATATTCAACAACTAAAGAGTTGAGAGTGAACAAAAATTGTAACATGATTCAGATATTAGCGGGAAGGAGAGATGGTTGCCCAATTTATGATAATTTTCGTTTGTATTTTAATTTCATATCGGTGTAAGTGACCTAAGCGAGTATCAACGCTTGTTCAGTGTGGCGAGAGTTATTTTTGTGTCATTAATATTTGATTGGTTTGTGTGTGAGGGATTGATAAGGCAATTTCGAAATGAAGTTGAAGTGAGAGGATGTAAAAATAGGAGTTATCTGAATTACGTAATTGAGTCCCAGTTGTATCATCTTACGTAGGATAAGGTAGCACTCGTAAGGTAATACAAACAGGACCTCAATGAATTTTTTTTTCACCAATTATTTTCTCATCAGAGGTCAATGATAAAAAAGACGAGACTCTTTTTTAATAATTCAAGTTGAATGAAACGAGAGTGTAAATAAAATAATTTATAGTGCTGTTGTGGTTGAAATTGAACTAATGTTTCAGTGCCTAATGCAGTATATTTAAATTAACTATTCACGTCTTGCATTTTTCTATGGGATTGAGGATATATTATTTATCTAATTGTATTAGTTCATGACTCGATTCAGTGAACATAAATTTTGTCAATTACGAGAATTAATTTTCACTCCGACGATTTAAGTAACGATCCAGGGAGAAGAGATAAAATTCTCTATAAAATTTCACTACATCGCTGCAGATGAACTGAAATGAATTTCATCGTTTATCTCTTCGCCACTGACTTCTTTCTCATTATTTACATCACTGTATTTTTGCAGAATTGCACATTCCATGGTACTGCGAAATGTCCTCTGCAATGGATTTATATAATGCCGTATTATTTTCATGATATGCTAGACAGTAGAGAAAATTGCCTGATAAAAATGGGAAACAAAGTGAATACTGTGGAGAGAGACAAATCATCCAATTGACCATGACAATGAGAATTTTCAAAATGATAATGTTTCCAGATTTTGGATAGACCCAGTGTTCAAGGCCGTTAATGATGCAAGTATTTAAGAACCGTCTACGTGATAATTTGTACTAATCTCGATAATCTTCGTACATCTGATCGAAGAGAGGAGACGTATGGGTGGAAAAAAAAAATTAATTATGTAAGACCAAATAGTCAATGCCTTGCGTGACGAGATTAACGACAAGCACCTTTTGAAGATCTGGACATGATATTTAAAAAGAAAAAATGAATTTATCTCAAACTTCTGCACTTTTTATTTTTCAGCATAAAACTTTCTATATCGATGTATAAATTCGTCCTTACGATAAAATAAATTTTGACCAATTAAATAAGTGATTTCAATCTCACAGCAGTAAAACATTCTCATAGAAAAGCACTTGTTCGTTATAAAATACTTGAAGCAAATACAATTCGTTGGCATGTGATAAATATAATGATAAAATTTTTAAATATATAGATATAATTTATGAAAATGTCGATACGATTAAAAGTACTGAAGTAAGCCATTGGTCCCAGCTGAAGATAAATGCAAAAATATTTGTCATTATTCAATTTCTCATTTGTCAGCTAATATTTAATTATATATTCTGAGAGGACTACCAGGATCTAATCTCTGGATAATTAAGTATAATCTATAATTGCGTTGTAATGACCGTTTTCATCGTGACAGTCTTGGTTTTTGCCTGGGATGGATCAGCCACTAGCCATGGACTGATATCCGAGGCTGTGGTGGCAAGTTCCTGGGGAAAAAAAAATAATTTATTATCAGTACATACAAATATCTTCATGTGAAAACCATGAGGACTTGATACATTACAACGCAGGGACTGAAAGTCGCCGGAAAAGCATGCAAGCACACGATGAAAAATGACAAATAATTTACCGATCGTGTGAACGTAGTAACTGTCGATGAATTCGGCGAAGGCACTTCTTCAGGTTTACTCGTAGCAATTTCATTTTCCTCCTCCTTTTCTGGAATTTTTTCGAGGACAGGTTGAATCTCACTGAACGGATTCAAAAGCCCCAGGAAGGGATTAGAATCGATGAATGGATTCGTATTTTTAGTCTCGGTTGTCTCCTCGGCCAGGACCTCTCTCACTTCGTCAACGGGTGTTGTCACCACTACGTCAGTACAGTTATCGGTAGTGAATGGATTGAAGGGATTCTGCGACTGATTGACAACTTTGGCACTGAATGGCGTTGTTTTCTGAGCAATTTGGCCCCAACTGTCCAGGGAGAAGTGAGTTACTGTCACAGCATCATCCGCGGGGGGACTGCTGCTTATTGGAGCTGTTCCACTGACGTTTAGGGTCAACTTGTCTCCTCCCTTTCAGCAAAAAGCGAATAAGCATGATGTTTTTTGGAAGCTAGCGCATGAGGTGTAATTGTCACATTAAAATGATCATGATGAGTTTGAAAATTTAGCGATTGGCCGAGTTGAATAAATACATCCCCAATGTTTTTCCTCAACTCACCTTGTCCCGCGGTAATTAATTTTCTACAAAGCAATCATAACAGCATTAAGGGTTCACAAGTACTATGATTTTTTCAGAATACAGTGGACTCCGGTTAAATACCCGCCTGTTCTGATATATCTATCTCTATATACAATGACTAATCAGGCACAACGAAAGACGAAATAAATGCACAGAATTGAAAAATAAAACTACAAAAAAATACTCACCACCGAGACAATGGTAGCAGCATCAGGATGTTGAGACTTGCCGCCATTGGTGGTCTCAGTTGGCATGATGGACACAAGATTGGAGTTCTTCTCACACTCGAGGCTCTTCGCCTTGAGTATATTGCACTTGAGTGACTCAGGTGGAATGGGTGATCGTGCAGAAAGTAGAAGTGTCCCACCCACTTGATTATTGGGTAATGATTGTGGTGGTGAGTTGGACGTACTCTCCACAATCAAACTAGTTTTCATGATCTCAGCCTCTTTCTCACTGGTAGGTGCAGTCTGATTCTTGAGCTCGAGGGGCTGCGGATCCTTGGCGAGAGACTTGAGTATTGAATCAACAAGTGGAGATGAGGATGAAGGGCCTACGGATGTACCAATAGCTCCAGCGGTCTCTGGAATAGTAGGAATGACACTGGCAGCAGCACTGGATGCTTCTGACTCTGTCTTGCTGTGCTGCCTCTGTAGAGACTCGCATTCCACACTGGCTGTCTGGGGTTCGACGTGTCTCTCCCTCTGTCTCTCCCTGAGAACGTGACTCTGCCTCCTGGCGTACCTCTGGCTGGGTCGCCTCTCAAACTGAACTGTTCTCCTCGCTCGGTTCAGCTGAGTCGTCTGGAACTCCGTTTTCCCACTGTATCGAAATCTCGAACCCATCCTGAAGAAATTCTGTCGACTGCTTGCACCTTTCACGGGAGCTCTCAGCCTGAAGAAGGCGTGATGCTCAACCGCACATTTCCAGAGGTGCTTGCAAGCCTTCTCGTTGGCAAGACGAAAGACAAATGTGTGCTCCTGCTCACCACGACCCTCATCGTCCTCCTCAACGACTACAAGAGTGAGTTTCTTCTTCTTGAAGTCTAAACGGCCGATCTTTGGCCAAAAGAAAAGGCCGATCTTCTGATTACCCTCGAACACGAGAATTCCCGTGGGAGTGAGACCCAGGGAGTACTCGCATGCGTCTTTACCCAGGACTGTGTGCATGTCCACTCCATACATGTCCAGCCACTTGGCTTTCCCCAGGTATGAGGACTCTGCCTGGGCTGGGGACAAGCCCTTGCAGTTCTTGTATTCCTCCAGGATCTCGAGCTCCATCTCTTCGGTTTGGCCTGGCACGAAACGAAACTCAGAGACAGTTGCTGCTGTGTGAATCGTTGGATCATAGTCCCCCAGCTCGGACTGCAGAGCCAGGGCTGACAGCTGGATGACTACGTTCGTTGGGCAGTGGAGGCGACCGTCCAGGAGGTCCTGCTTCAGTTGAAGGAAGAATTGGTACCGCGTGAGCTCCTCTCGGAGAGTATTCGGCTCGGAGGAGTAGAACTTCACTTTCAATCGGAGGGTGTATGGCGGACCGATTTTTATCTGTTTTTTTATCGGTTTCGTGGGGTCCAGCCAGTGCTGCACGTTATTGCTGTCTGTGTACTGGAGACCGAAGTAATCTTTCTCGATCAGGTCCAACGAGTAGAAGACCTGCTCGTACAAATCGCTGGCCAGGGCTTTTTTCTGAAATTTCAGGGCAGTATCAAAGTGATAACTATCTATATATATTATTACCGATTTGAGGAACGATCGCAAAAAAAAAACAATTTCCGTTATTTTATGCTTCAATGAAGATTCTCTTGAAGACAAATAGCGGATTCTTCAATTTATTCTTCGGAAATAAATTGAGTCTCGCCAGTAAATTATCATTTTTCTAGGTTCTTATTTAATTAGAATGCAATCGTTAAGGGACTAGCATAAAATTTAAACATACCGACAACTCGATAGGCAAATCCGTACCATCCAGCAGTATGACTTGGCACTGTATAATATTTTTATTACTGAGTAATCTCTGATTTTTAATCTGCGGGGATGCTGTCTGTCCCGCACTCCTCACACGCCGTTTAGACAAAAATCTCAACATCTTCCTCCCCCAATCGGTACCTTCAAATGCTACCCCAAATTTTCAATTTGATAAAAACATCAAATTCTACCGCACGCGAAAACATTTCTATAAATCATCTACATTTGATATTTTCACTGCTAGCTCATCAGTGGGTACGACATTGGTGAAACGTCAGACTGCACTCGTAAGCACATAATTACGGCAAGATTATTAATGGATTATTAATTGAGCAATGTGATAATACACCTCACACAATGGCAACGAAATTTTCGCAGTGTTGCGGAACCAAACAATAAAAAAACTTCGAAATACAATACAAAAACATGAAAAAAAAACGGTCTATCCTGGTAGCAACCGAGTACAACAAAAAGGGGGTAGGCGTCACATTTTCAGGTTTCCGACACCTGGCGGCAGGTGTACGAATCCCTAGGAACCTGCGTAGGTGTGGCTGTCCTCTTGGAATTCCCAAGGACTCAATTCACCTGAAAACACCCCCATCAACAACCCTCACTCGACTTGGGGGGAGAAAAAATTCCACAAACCCACTCTTATCTTTGAAAAATCCTGAAAAAGCCTTCACCAACATTTAAATAATTTCAAATCACCCCCGAAAAATTGCCGCCACCAATGGCACCATGGCCAGTTCAGCTTTTCACCAATCCCAGGTAAGACGCCAGAAAATCTCCATATGATTGGAGGAAACTTGACGACGACGAAATCTGAAGAGAGATAGATGACTTTAATGAGTGAGAACGAGGAGTCGAATGGAATGGAGTCTAGAGTCCATGTGACTGTACTCTCAAGTATGACATCTTTTTTGTTGTCCCAATTTTTTTAACAATGTCATTGGATATTTTGATTCCCCCGGAGGTGTAATACCGTGCCAGGTGGAATTAATGAAACTTATATATTGGTTTAAAAAAGTTTTCCAATGACTACGCATTTAGTGAATTATTAATCGTTAGATTGAGGCTTTTCTGGGAACACGTAAGTTAATTGTGACACATTGGCTATCGAGGATGGAGTATTGTTGATGATTGAACGTCGGTGGGTGTGGGTGGAATGGGAATTATTAATTGGAATGTATTTTTTTCTTTTGGTTTCAGGACAATGGCACTTAGAGAGTTGGTCGAGGGGGATTGCGGTGGTCCAGGGCCACTCGCGGGCTTCGCCTCACACCTGGTGCAGGACCGGGGGTTCAGGGAAGAGGGCATTGGTCAGTCTAGAGAGGTCCCCCTGGAGCACGCCACTCCTGATCAGTTGGTTGATGAGTTTCTCGGGGGCAGGGCTAATGCACATCCCGCTACTTTTCGTATGAATAATATCCTTCAGCAGGTTCAGGAGATTGATCATGGCATTCAGCATCCTCTACCACCACCTTCCATGGTCAGGGAACAGGACTCTGAGTGGGCGAATCAGTTTATGAACACGAGGACCGAATTTTTTGTAAGAGAATATTATTATTGGACCACTTGTTCACTTCTTCTTCAGGTTATTTTGGATAATGAATGTGAAATTTTCAATGTTTTGTCCATTTTTTTAGACAACAAATGCAGATCAAATCTGGTCTGAGAATGCTCTCCCTCGTCTTCCACCCCCTGAATCCAATGAACTCGGTCTTGGTGTCCAGTGGGCAGAGGACTACTTCGAGCACACATTAGAGTCCTCGAAGGAAGATGAAGAAGAACTCAAATCTTTGGACGACACAAGCACCGAAAATCCCAACATTGCGTATTCGAAATTCATGAAATTTATGCATCAGGAAGGGGACATCACTAACGAAATTCCAGAATCCACTTCAGCGAGCACTTTGAGCTCGAAATGGTCGCAAGAGTTCTCGGAACAAAAGGAAGAGGCTGAGAAGTCTCTGGGGAATCCGGATGGAGTTCTTAATAAAGTTGAGGAAGAATTGGCAGTGGCTGGGAGTTGGGCCAATGAATTTCTCGAAAGCGCTGGCAATGTAGGTCGGTAAAATACTCTTTGATGTGAGAGATAATTTGTAATGTAATCAAGAATGCGGTAAAATTATCGCTTAAACTCTTTGATTTTTCAAAAACCTAATGAATCATTCAAGCGCTAATGAGGGAAACTTTTTCTACTATTGATACGTAATTTTTTTTTACTGAATCAAGAATGTATGGAAGTACATAAAAAAGGCAATAAAAAAATTAACTACTTTCCCACATGATACATACGAACATTCTCCCCTCAAAAATGACTTGAACATTTTTGAAACTGATAATAAATGGATAAATAATTAAAAAAGAGTACGTAATTCTGATTATAATTTTTGTAGCCATTATTTCTAAATTGGGAAGATATCCAAACAGCTGATTGTTTCCACTCCAATTCCGACTGCTAAAATCATTAATCATATTTCTTGAAAAATAGGTTCGGACACGTACGAATCCTCGATTTGGTCAAAATTCGAAGGAGAGTGGGCAAAGGCCTCGAAAAATAACATAGCAGACGCTCATCCCTGGTTGTCCGATTACGAGAGTTACTACGATCCCTTCAAGGACTACAAATTCAAAGAGGACAACCCAATGAAAGATATTCCCAACGCTCTAGAGCAAGGCAAGAGTCGACTGGAGGCTGGGGATCTTCCCAGTGCCGTATTGTGCTTCGAGGCAGCTGTCCAGCAGAACGAGGAGAACCCAGAGGCGTGGTACCTCCTGGGGAAGACCCAGGCTGAGAATGAGCAGGATCCCCTAGCCATAGCAGCTCTAAAAAAATCTCTAACGCTGGATACATCTAACGCCAATGCACTAATGACACTGGCCGTGTCCTACACCAACGAATCTTATCAGAATCAGGCCTGTTTGACCCTGAAGGAGTGGCTCTTGAAGAATGAGAAGTATAATCACCTGTTGGTGAAGCGGAATAGCACAGATAACCCATCCAAATCCTCAGTGTCGACGATTTTATTCGACGACGTGCACAATGAGGTGAAGGACCTGTTCATTCAAGCCGCCAGGATGAATCCAACTGAGGGAATTGACGCTGACGTGCAGAGTGGTCTGGGAGTCCTCTTCAATCTATCCAGCGAGTACGATAAAGCTGCTGACTGTTTCAGGGCAGCTCTCCAGGTGCGCCCAGACGACTCAAGACTCTGGAACAGATTGGGCGCAACTCTTGCCAATGGACAGAGATCTGAAGAAGCTGTTGATGCATACTCTCAAGCGCTTGAACTCTCCCCTGGATTCATCAGGGCCAGATACAACCTGGGAATTTCGTGCATCAACCTCGGGGCTTACAAGGAAGCTGCTGAGCATCTTCTCACAGCACTTAATCAACAGGCTGCTGGCAGGGGAGTCCAGGGTGGTAATAATGCCCCTCATGCCATGTCTGAAACTATTTGGTCGACCCTGAGGCTCGTTGTGTCTCTCATGCACAAGTATCATCTGACTGAAGCTGTGGAGAAGTGGTGAGGACTTGTCCTTATTCATTGACGCTCTCCCTTTTCTTCATTAAAAATTGAATAATTCAACTGAAATTTTTTTACAGGAATCTGGCAAAATTGAACGAGGAATTCGAGATATCCTGAAGTTAACAATAACATTACCCACATGGATAACATAACGGAATGGATTGTTTAACTCTAATGTTATGGATACAGATAATAAAGGAAAATTATTTGTAAATCGTTGAATTTGAATAATAATTTGAGTAGACCCTGAAAATTTCCACTGAAAGCCCTGAAAAGCGACCGTGCACATGAGAATAATCCAAAGGCTGAGCAGAAGAAAAAAGGACAATAAAAAAAATGAAAACCAACGCTCATTGAAAAGAGGCCTGCGGGCATTGGGTAGCAGCCATATTGGCTTGGCTATGACTGTCGTGTCAGAGTGATAGTTGACCGTGAACGTAAAAAAGTGGGGTAGTTTATTTATTTTTTATTTTGTTGGTTGTTAATAAACAAACTCCCCTGTATGTGTAATTATTGAATAAAGCCAAAAGTTCGTTAAAATGGAAGAGACAAAGATAATATATCACATTGACGACGAGGAAACGCCTTATTTAGTTAAGCTCACAATATCACCGGAGCGTGTGACACTCGCTGACTTTAAAAATGTATTGAATCGTCCGAATTACAAGTTCTTCTTCAAGTCTATGGACGATGACTTTGGGTAAGTCAACGATGTCGGCTAATTACCATGACCTCGGGACATAAAAAATTTATAATAATCATCGACCTGTCGATATTACTTCACCCATCATCGGGAAGATATGGAAAGCTCGTTGCATGGTACAGGCTGACATGGAACAAATGACAATTCATGGTGGTGCTCCTTGTCCTGTCGATTTTCTCAGTTTATCCCCTTGACGAATGCCCCTTAATCATCCTCTTGAAAGCCCTCAGCATCCTCAAATTGATCTCATCCACATGCCCCACAGACCAGACCAGAACAGTACGGATTAATGGTTTTTTTTTTTCGTAACATAAAAAGGCAGATGAGTACACAGGTCATTCACCCCCTCTGTCACTCGTGTTTGTTTATTACATTTAATCGCTAATTTCACAGCCCCTCGACTCGTCGTATTGCCCCAATTAACCAGCATGAGTGTGATTATTAATTAATCGAGTGAATTTATTTTAATGGAAAAAAAAATATCACCAGTGTTGTCAAGGAAGAGATAATCGACGACGATGCACACCTACCATGCTTCAATGGACGTGTTGTCTCTTGGGTATGTCTATTTACATTATTACCATGATTATTATGTCATTGAGGGTCCTTTGAAAATGATGTTACAAACAATTCCTTTCATACTTAATATCAAAAGACCCACAAAAGCCGCCTTTTTTGCACTTCCACCTTGTTTTTAATTACTTTAATTACTTGCATTATTTTTCTTTTTTAATTATGCCAACGACCCATACAATTAAAGGGAGAACGAGTAAACAAAGGGGTGGAGGTTGAATGGGAGGGCAGTGTGTTTGTGTTTTTAAGAAAATTATAATCGACTTTTCCCCGAAAAAAGAAAACAACAACGAAAACGAAGAAGCTAAATATTTCCTCCACCAGAAACTTCCGGCTGTAGTCGTGCCAGAAGAAAATGTAGAAAGGATACAACACTTTGTTCGCTTCTTTTTTTTTTTTCTACTCGCACCCTTCTACTTCATAAACACACACATAAATACACCGGGTGAAGATGGATGAATTTGTGGGTTTACTCTATGTATGGGTTTAAAGGTGGGAGGAGTGGGTGTTATATTGGAGTATATGTGTGTCTCTGTTCCCCTCTCACGATTCTTCACTCCCACACCCATAACTCAACCAGTCATAGGTCCCCCCCATCAGACGAATTCACCAATCTGATGAATGGGGCTAGAAAAACCCCTCGATCACTCAACGCAGATCAGTTTTTTTTTTCTTTCCTTCAATCAATATTCAATTACAGTTTGGAAAATATTGGGATGAATTTTTTGTTCAGGGTGATTGATTTTTGAACGGAGAGTGGGAAATGACAGATTGGTTTGCAGTTGCTCTGAAATAATAGATTTTTTTTTAATTGATGAAACCAGTGAACTGTGAGCAAATTTCTTCTTTTACACTTTTCAAGGGCTTTCATGGGATTTTAATTGTTGGCAGGGAGACTTGTCGTCAAAGCGGCTGAATATGGACTATTCCGCATTTTTTTTTCTCTCGTTTTACAAAATGTGAAATGTTTTTTATGAAGTTTTGAATGAGATCCAACGGGTGATTAGTTTTGTCGGGTTCTGTGGGCATTTTTGAGGATTCTTTCAACGTGAATTGATTCAGCGTCGTGTAATTATGATTTTCAAAGGACTTTTCAGGGTGGAGGGCATTGCCAGGGTTCGAACCAATAAGATTTTACGAATATCCGTGATTGGACTAATTAAAGTCGATGGTAATATCGAAAAATCTACGTTGATTCAGAGACGGAGATTTCGTTTGAATAATTTGTTCGAATGCTGGATGCTCTTGTCGGAGTGCAGGATGTTGGTAGATGATTAATAATTCTGTTTGGAATGCAGCTGGTGTCGGCTGAGGGTAGCAATGTCTCGGATGGTGCATCCCAATGCACAGATTCAGTGGCCCATAGTGAGGCCAAACACGACAGGGTAGATCATGTGCCACCGGGTATCACAAGTCGTGGTCCACCTGCACTATCACACGACGATACATTGACTGAAACTGAAAGTATTATAAGCAGCAGACAGGGTCACCATTTGCACAAAAATACAAAGCACCATTCAGATAAATATGAAAAATATAATAAGTACAATGGTACGATATCATAATTTTAAACAGTGAATAAGTGTTGAGAATACGCGGAGAGCGAAGAGAGATTAAGGAGTTGTGAATTATAAAGGAGATTTAAGTGTTTTTTTTTTAAATCCAGGACTGCGCATTAACGGGCACTCGAAGCACCGTTCTGGTCATGGATACGAGACTGCCTCAATCCTATCCTCCGATTTGGAGACAACGACTTTTTTGGAGTCTGATGACGATGCCAGCAGTCGTATAACATCAACTACTGGTCGACACACAAACATGAGTAGTACGATCGAACGTGCCACCCTAGGTGCATTACACTCATATCACAAACCGAATACAATTCCCCACACCTTCCAAGATCAATTAATTAGCAAATTCATGAATCACAGTCCAATTTATCGTTCTTAATTGACTTCATGAACGAGTGACAAGTGGAAAAGCTTTCTGAATTATTTTTATTAGATCTCAAGAAAGTCCGGACACTGAGAGAAATTCTTCCGAAAAATTCTGGTACTGCAAAATATTTTTTTTTCATTTACAGATTGAAAGATCAATAGAATTCGGAATTTCACGGAAACAGCTGTTGAATTTTTCTGATCAATTTCTCTCGAGGCAATTCAAGATAATTCACGGTTTACCACTGAACAAGTGAATCTAGTGTAATCGAATGAATTTTTATGATTTCAATGATCCCAATGGCAGATCGTCGCAGACCCCAGAGACGACGACGACACAGATTACCTCCAATGTCACGAACATCATCATTCAGCAGTATCACAGACAGCACAATGTCACTAAACATAATAACAGTATCATTGAACATGGATACTGTCAATTTCCTCGGGATTAGTATTGTGGGACAGAGCAATAGCGGTGGGGATGGTGGTATATACGTTGGCTCCATTATGAAGGGGTAAGCAAAAGGAGAAAATAAAAATGAGAGCCAGAGGGACGAAGAGAATCGATAAAAAAATTCTCTCTACTTCACAATGTCCAATTTATTTCCCTTTTTTTATTTTCAGGGGCGCGGTGGCTCTTGATGGTAGGATAGAGCCTGGTGATATGATTCTCCAGGTGAATGACATTAATTTTGAGAATATGTCAAATGATGAGGCAGTCAGGGTACTTCGAGAAGTAGTTCAGAAGCCAGGGTATGCGAAATTTACTCGTTTACATCATATAGAGTCGTTACTCGAGATTCTCTGAGTGCTGATGCAGTGATTTAATTGCAGGCCTATTAAATTAGTAGTAGCCAAATGTTGGGATCCCAATCCAAAGGGCTATTTCACTATTCCACGTACAGAACCAGTACGTCCAATCGATCCGGGGGCTTGGGTCGCTCACACCGCTGCTATTCGTGGTGAGGGCTTTCCTCCACGTCCACCCAGTGCCACCACCCTCACATCGACATCCAGCAGTCTTGCCAGCACACTTCCAGATACTGAACGTAAGGCATTTGCTTCGGGGGTAATTCAATTTAAAGTGGATCGTCTAGAGCTCAAACGAAATTAACTCTTTCATTTATCCTTTATCTATTGGTTTTGGAGCACTTTGAACTGGAAAATTCCTCTCGTACCTCTCAGATGAGTCATTTCATCTGATGCTAGCTTTGTAATTTTGCTAATTAAAGTTTTCAATTTTAGAAATTTACAAATACACTCCAAAAAGCCCAAATATGGGGCATTCTCCGTCAAACCAGAAACTTATTCGTTTGAAGGTCTCTGACAATTCTCGGGAGATTATTTCTCGTGCGGAAAAATGTGGAGTACAGAATATCAATGTTTTGTTTTTTATTGTCTCCAGGCCCTCTGGAGGAATTACGCCTGAGCATCAATACAGACATGCCAACGATAGTCCGAGCAATGGCACGACCTGACTCTGGTCTGGAGATTAGGGATCGTATGTGGCTGAAAATAACAATTCCAAATGCATTTATCGGTGCAGACGTTGTCGACTGGTTGAATACCCACGTCGAAGGTTTTATCGATCGTCGTGATGCACGAAAGTATGCCTCGTTGATGTTGAAAGCCGGCTTTATCAGGCACACCGTTAATAAGATAACATTTTCGGAACAATGCTATTACATTTTCGGGGATTTGTGCTCGACAATGGCCAATATGAAATTGGATAGTGATACAGTGGCACCACTACCACCACCTGGTTGGGATGTCATGTATTCAGGACCCTATGCCCCACACTCAGCCGCTGGGTACAGCCCAATGCCATTCAATTTCACTAATGAACCCACTGTCTATGGATATCATCGTGAAGAAAGTGTTCACAGTGAGTCAGGTAATTTTTTAACTACTGGGGAACTCCTTTTTTATACTCTCGATTGATTCGTTCCGTCAGAACATATGGCCAAGAGATAATCTTGCTAATTGAATAATTAATACGTCGTGTCTGAAATTTATTTCGTCTCACGTAAGAATTTTTCCTCTGCGAGTATCTCCGGGAAAAACCAGTTAATCGCTGTGGTATGTGGAATGTGTCTTAAAATAAACACCAGAATAATTAATAATAATTATGATTATCAAGGGATTTTTCCTCTTATTCGGTTTTACATCGGAGGTAATGGGAATTAGTAATAGAGAGAGATAGAGTTTTAAAAGGAGTGACTTGGACTTTTTTGACATTTTTCAATGGGTGATTTCAATTTTTTTTTTCGTACATCTGATTTCGAAGGTGGAAGTAGTGCCGGCAGCGAACACATCTGCAAGGAGCCTATTCACGATTTGAAATCCTGTTCTTCAGCGTCTGAAACGGACTTACATATGCCACCGAATGTGCCCAGTAAGAATTCAGGAAATGGTAATGGATCCAATGGAAAGAGATCAAATGGCAGTCGTAGCAGATCAAGTGGTTCCGAGCAGTCTGTACAAACGGGAACTGGCTCTACTAATCAGCAGAATCAGCAAGATATATCCGGTAGTAGACAGTCATTTAGAATTGCGATGGGAAATCCATGTGAATTTTTTGTTGATGTCATGTAGATTTTTTTTTTCTCATTTTTTACCCTTTTGTAAATACTTTATTTTTATTATGAAGAATAGGAATGTCGATGTTTTTTCGGATTCTTGGTAGCATGAAGTATGTAGAGATGTCTCCAGACTGGGTAGAGATTATTTTCATAGTTGTGTGGGAAATGAAGATGAGTCAGAATTTTGGTGGGTGGAATTTCACCTGAGTAATGTGCAATTGGGATAAAAATGTGAATTGATTCATCTTCATGCTCTCGTCAGACTTCTATTTCTCAGAGAAAAATGAATTGTAAACCCATATATTTTTTTATCGATTATTAAGGGAATTTTTCATTGGCGTATGGTTAATGCTTGATCCTGGTCTCAACAATTATTTCGTTTTTTTTTTTTGGTTTAGAGAGCTGGATACGCTGATCCTAAGGCAATTATGGTACAGTGCACGTTATTGGGATGCATGCTTTATAAACTTCCATTCTCACAGATATTCTTGAAGAACTTAGCCATAAGAATTCCTCCAAATAATTTTCTATTTCATAGCACAATCACAGAAAATCACATTTTTTCGTAGATTATGGGCATGACTATTGTCACACGACTGAATGGTTACGGACTCTTTCACCGCATGAGCAGTCAAGTTATTATGTGTAATGAAAAATTCATTTTTACAAGATGTCGCCAATTAATGTAATCCATTGCTTGCATTTTAGGATTGTCTACGACAATGGGGCAGCTATTTCTTTAAAAAAGCAAAAAAAAAAGTCTAAAAACAAAGTCAACGGGAGATAATTTCAAGTGAAATCGAATTTTATCGCCTGCCTCCTGTTCCAAAAAATACAGAAAAGAAAATAATAAAACGATTAATTTTGTTTGTTTGTTTCTTTCACTCGGCTACTACATATTTGAGCAGTCATAACGAGTTAGGTATGAGCATGTAATGCTTTACTGATAGAATCGTTAACGGGGTACGTAAGGTTAATTATTGTAGAGAATTATAATTATATAATACTCGTATATAGAGTCGTCATTAGGAACGTGCCAAACGTGGTGTCTCATTATTCAAACTGCTGTATACAGAATGGCATAATTTTCAATGGAAATCAAGAGGAATGAACGAGAATGATGTAAATATAAACTATACGAAGAAATCAACAAACAAAAAAATAACATAACGCTCAAAATTAAAAAGAAAAGAATGATAACAAAAAAAAGTGCCATCAAAGAATTTTCGTATTCAACGCGAATAACACTGATTTTTTCTATGTCACCTGAAAACAATTTTTATTGACTATTTATACAAAAAGTATTGATAAAAATCAACAAAAAAAAAGGGGAGAAATTGTGGAGGAAGCACTGAATGTTTCAGGTTGTACGGACTGCGTCATTGTTATTCCGTTGTTTTTTTTTTAATTATTATTATCAGTTGTCGTCTGATATTTACTATTAAGTCGCTTCAAAAGACGTTTTAATTGTTATATTAACAAAACAAACGAAAACTAATTTCTAGTTATTTCCATCGTACAGTTAGTTTTGGTGAAGAACTAAGAAATTAAATATGCGTGATTGAAAAGGTATAAACTGTAATCTTAGGTTCTAACCGCATTTGGAGGTACACAGAGTTTGCTATTATTGTAAGATATCGAAGAAATTATTATTTCAATGTACAAAAATGTTTTTTTTTAACGAATTTTCATTTAGTGAAACGCATCGATGGTGTTAAGTTAACGAGAGATTAAGCAAAAATGAATGAATGCCCTGTAATGTCGTACAATACAATTTTTAGAAATTATTACTTGACAAAAAAAAAGACTTGGCAGCCTTGAATTTCCCCCTTTCAACTCCCATCGAAATCGGAAATATTTTTATTACATTCTTCGGCGCTGCCTTGGATTGGACACTACGGTAAGTGAATTTCTATCGTACATGGTACGACAGCGCTAATGAATTACACAATTCTCTATGATAATCTTCAGTTATCGACAAACCGTGCAGAGGCGCGCAATTTTTTAGACTTTAGACTAAGTCATTCTATCGAGTACACAGCGGCGCAATGAATAAGGTAATCATATCCAAAAAAAAAATCAACAATTCAGCAGTTACCCTTTCTCTCACTCGTTACCTATTCGTGTAAATCACGAAACAAAATTGGACTTTGGAAATCACAATCATCCCAGTAAAATCAATTGTTAACCAATGATTATCGATCTTTTCAACAATGCAGAGTGGACATACATCGGTTCATAAACAAAAATAACAATTTCATTTATCATTTTCCTTCGCTAAAACACTTAATCCCTCTTATCTGTATAATTGAAATCAAATAATCATGTCGAACTCATTT